GGCCCGCTCGGCCCGCCTAGGACAACTTTCCGAAAATCTAAAATTTATTTGGAAATCGGAAAATTCAAATACAAAAAAAAATTAGAGTTTGACTTCAAAAATTAAATTCCGATGTCCGTGGATGCTCGAAGATTTCAGCGGACGATAGGCTCCAGAATTTTTCGATCAGTTTACCTGTCACGGATTTGGTCACCCCAGTCACGGATTTGGTCACGAAGTTTGATTCCTCCAGAATGCTGAAAGCCAAGGATTCTGAAAAAAATTTTATAAGTTAATAGAATTCAGCTGGGAATCCTAGATAATTGACGTCGAAATGCAAGCATGCTTCTCTGGTTGGCAACTTTAAAGGCGCATATCTCAGTCCCTTTAAGAGATATCTAAAGTCTGATAATTATCGAAATGTAGCTCGTCAAATTTCCTACAGTTTTACAGTTTACAAATTTTAGCTAGCCTTTATAGTTTTTGAGGTATGCGCCTTTAAAGTTGGCGTTGCTCATCGCTCCTTGGAGTTGCATACTTCTACTTTAAGTTGATTTATCTCAGTTCCTTTGAAAGATGTCAAAGATTAGTCAATTACAAAAATGAAGAACATGACATTTCCAATATTTTAATTTTTTAATTATGTTTATAGCGTTTTCAGAACTTGAGATATGAATGTTTGAAAAATGACTTTTTTTTTTAATTTTGAAAAAAAAATTTTTTTCAATTGTTGTTACCTTGGGTTGTGTATTTTTTAGAAACATGGGTTTTATATCAAGATGTTGCACATTTTGTGTTCTTTGTTTTTGTGGTTTGTAGTGTTATGCTTGCTTTTGTAGTTTTTGAGATCTGCGCCTTTAAAGTTGGCGGCGCCCCTCGCCTGCATTTCTTCTCAAAGGAGGGGTAGCACCAACTTTAAAAACGCATATCTCAAAAACAACACAAGTTAGCTTAAATTTGTTAATAAATAAAATGCGTAAAATTTTATGATCTACATTTTATCAGTTGACAAAATTTTGATAGCTTTTAAAGAAAGTGAGATAATTTAGCTCAAACGTTAGTATGTAAAATTCAACTTACAGTGTAAAATCCTAAAGATCCTTCATGGCATCCTCTCTGCCTTCAATCTAAGAAATTGATATGGAAAATTGGGAAATAGTAAATAAACACCCACCACTCGGTTTAACATTCATCTCTGTGTTTGGTTTGAGATTTTCGGAAAAATCTGAAATTTTCAGCCTTTTCAAAAAAATTCAAAATAGTGGAATTTAATATCATTTTGTAGCTCTTTTTAAATTCTACATTTTACGTTTTGAATCAAACCAAAATTCCAATTTTGAGCCGAGTTATGAAACTTTAAAAACGCATAACAAATGCAGGATCCGGGAGCGAGAGGCGCCAACTTTAAAGGCGCATAACTCAAAAACTATAATAGCTAGCTAAATATTACAAACTGCAAAAATAAAGAACACAAAATTTCCCACATTTTGATACAAAAACCATGCTTCTAGCTAATACAAAACTCAAGATATGGAAATTTGAAGAAAAAACAATTTTTTTCAAAAAAAAAAGTCATTTTTCAAACATTCATAGCTCAAGTTCTAGAAATGCGATGCACATTTTATATTAAAATATTGTAAATTTAACGTTCTCCATTTTTGTAGTTAACTGACGTTTGATAACGACGTATGATATCTTTTAGAAGAATTGAGATAAGTCAACTTAAGGTAGAAGTATGCTACTCCAAGAAGCGAGGAGCGGCGCCAACTTTAAAGGCGCATATCTCAAAAACTAAAAAAGCTAGCTAAAATTTATAAACCGTGAAACTGTAGGAAATTCAAAGAGCTACATTTTAACAATGACAAATTTTTGACAGCTTTCATCGTTTTGGAGATATGCGCCTTTAAAGTATTTCACACCTACCACTCGTTGTACATCCACCGCTGATTTTCGTTTTAAGCGAATCTTTGGAAGAATCTGAAATTTTCAGCGATTTGCTATAATTTTATGCTCCGAAACTCACTTTTTTTTACAAAATACGGAAGATTTATAGGAATAAAATTAGCGAAATTTTGAGAAAAAATAGGTAGGAACTTTCCAGAATCCATTCATTCAAAGGATTCTTCTGGAAAGTTCCGAAGAGTAAAGTCGTCATTTAGGGAGAATAAGAGAGTAGAACTGTGTAGCTGGGGACGCGCCTTCTCGTTGTCTGCGTCTCTCCATTTCCCCTTCTCTCTCGTTTATCTATTATTTTGAAGGTTGATGCCTTATCTGTGCCCTTTAATCGGATATTTAGAGATCAAAATGTGATTATTAATCTCAAAAAGTTGGATTTTTGGTTTTCTGATTTTTTATTAGTTTTTAATTAAAGATAATTGTTCAGCTAATTGAGAGCTTCAAAATGAGTATAAACATGGCCATATGCCCTTTTAAAATAGTTTTAAAGCCCGAAAGCTTATACATATTTATACTCATTCTAAAGCTGAAAATTTGCTCTTTTCAAATCATTTTAGAAATTCAAAATTTAATGACAATTTAAAAAGTTATAGTAGAAAATGTTCTGTAGATTTTAATTTGATTTACTTTGGTTCTCATAAAAGATATCTAAAAATTGTCAACTGATAAAATGTTGGTTATTTTATGCTTAACATTTTATCAGTTGACACTTTTTTGATATCTTCTATAGGAACTGAGATATTTTGGCTTGAAGTTGTTATGCATATATTTTCTTGTATATCTCTTCAGAAACCGATTTTTCAGAAAAGTTGTCTTTCACAAAAATGCAGCTCGTTTTTTGTTCGGTCTACCCTAAAATTTTCAGACAGATCTGCTTTTCTTAAGCTGTTTTATATGATTTTTAACGAAATTCTTCTTTTTCTTTCTTTTTTTTTGAAAATTTAGGTTTCCCTCCTAAAAACGACACTCCGATATCCCGCTTTCCCGCTAAACAACGCGCGCTTTCCCCCGCGCAATTTGAATTTCAAAGCCTAATTCTTCCGATTTTTATCGATTTCCGCTGACTTTAGAACGATTTTTTCATTTTTCCAGCAAAAAAATGGCTGAAGCCGCTTGCAAAGGTTTCACCGCACTCAACACCATCAAAACGATCATTGCGGAGCTCAAAAAAGTAGATAAATCGTTCACACCGGCATCGGCTCAGTATAAATTCCTTACCGAGCAAATGAGAGCCGATCAGGTGACGACTCGGCGGTATTCCAAGGCGGAAAATGAGTCGGAGAGCGTCGCGAAGCTCTATTTGAGCTATATTCAGGGGTAAGTCGGGATTTTAAGCGGGAAATTTGAAAATTTTGGAAAAAATTTTTTTTCCAGAACTCGCCGACTAAACGAGCTTCAGGATCGATACAAGGGTGGCGAGAAGACCGTAGAAGAGAGCGCGAAACTTGTTGGACTCAAACTTCCAGAGAGAAAATATTAATTTTTCTAAAATTTGAATTTTTTGGATTTTTATAGTTTAGGACCTTTTATAAATCGTTTTTTCCCTGTTTTCCCTTGATTTTTCCTGCTCAAATTCGGTTTTTTCACCGTTTTATCCAATTTTTTCGCGTTTTTCTGATTTTCAGGCAATTGTTCGATTTTCAGCACTAAAAATGAGCAAGACACCTGCTCCGGACACTGATCGGAACAAATACGCGTGGCTGGTCCACCCGGCGAAGGATCTGGTCGAGAATTTCTCGATTGATGTGTTGAAAGTGAGAAAATAGCGAAAAATCTTGACTTTTGGCTCAGAAAACCGATTTATTAGCTAAAAAATGCTCAAAAATCGAATTTTTGACATTTTTTCAACAAGAAAAAGGCTCAAAAATTGAATTTTAAACATTATTTCTAGCTGATAAATGCTCAAAAATGGATTTTTAAACAATTTTCAGCGAAAAAAAAACTCAAAATCTTGATTTTTGACCCAATAAAACTAATTTTTATCAAAGAAAAACTCAAAAAATCTCGATTTTTCGCTCCAAAAATCCGATTTCCTAGCTGAAAAGTGCTCAAAAATCCTGATTTTTCGCTCAGAAAACTGATTTTTTAGCTAAAAAATGCTCAAAAATGGATTTTCAGGAGCATTTTTGGCGAAAAAAGGTCAAAATCTTGATTTTCGACCCAATAAAATTGATTTTTAGCTAAAAAATGCTCAAAAATGGATTTTTTAAACTCAAAAAACCGATTTATTAGCTCCAAAAATGCTGAAAAATCGAATTTTTGAGTCATAAAACTGATTTTCTAGCTGACAAATGCTCAAAAATGGATTTTCAGGAGCATTTTTGGCGAAAAAAAGGTCAAAATCTTGATTTTCGACACAATAAAACTGATTTTTTAGCTCAAAAATGCCCAAAAATCAAATTTTTTGACATTATCTCAGCCGAAAAAATCTCAAAATCTTGATTTTGAATCCAAAAAAACTGATTTTCTAGCTAAAAAATGCTGAAGAATGAATTTTCAGGCTCTTTCCGGCTATTTGGAGCAAATCCAACGCGAATCCGATGCTCAGGAAGGGGTACAAGACGCGACGGCCGGCGCCGTTTTCCAATTCTTCGATTTTCAACAAGCCTGCCGGATTCTGACCGGATCCGCTGGGGTCTACGCGAAAAAAGTGGATCACGTGCTTGAATTGACACTTTCAGGTAGGGGAAGTGACTGAAAATGGGTGAAAATGGCCTAAAATGGCTCAATATTTGCAAAAATTGGTCCAAAAGAAGCCGAATTTAGTGAAAAAAGCTGGAAAATCCGAAAAAACGCCCCAAGTTGGCTTTAAAACAGTCTGAAATTCGCATGAATCGGTTCTAAATGAGCCAAAACCCGCTGAAAATCGCGTAAAAAATATGAAAAAAAACGGCGGAATTGGTATTATTGAAATTAGTCGAAAAAAAGGTCGAAATTGGTCTAAAATGGCCTAAAACGAGTGAAAAGTGGCTCAAAATGATCAAATTTGGTCCAAAAAGAGCCAAATTAGACTGAGAAGTGCTAAAAATTCTGGAAAATAGCTAAAATTTACTTTCAAAAATTTGCCTGAATTTGGTCATAAATATGCGAAAATCCTCGAAAAATCTTTCAAAAACACAGAAAATTAGCTCAAAATAGTTAAAAAAGTCCCAAAAATCGGTTCTAAATGAGCCGAAATAGCAAGAAATAGCGTAAAAACTGCTAAAATCAAAGCTTGAATCACCAAAATGAGCCATATTTTATGAAAAATGGTCCAAAATTGGTTGAAAATGGATAACATTGAAATTAATCGAGAAGTGACCCAAAATCCCCTGAAATCGGCTGAGATTGGCTGAAATTAGTCAAAAATGAGCCAAAATCCCTGAGAAAACGTTCAAAAACACAGAAAATTAACCGAAAACCGCTGAAAATAAGCCCCAAACTTGCTCAAAAACACAAAAATTGACTGGAAAATGGCTTAAAAGGCTTAAAATAGCTAAAAATTAGCATAAATCAATTCTAAATAAGCTGAAAAAATCGCTGAAAATGAGCTGAAACCCGCTGAAAATCGCTGAAAAATTACTCAAAGACAGCGAAAATTGGCTCTAAATAGTCCAAAATGGGTCGTCTAAATTTGGTGAAATTTGGTCGAAAATGACTCTGAAAAGCTCTAAAAACAACCTAAATTGCATAAAATTGCTTCAAAAAGCCCAAATTTGAAGCGGAATGAGCTCAAATGGCTCAAAATTTGCTTTAAAATAGCGGAAATTAACTCTAAATGGTCCAAAATAGTTCAACTTTGGTGAAAATCGGTCGAAAATGACTGTGAAAAGCCCTAAAAACTCCTAAATTGCTTCGAAAATCCCAAAAATGCAATAATTTTCAGTGATGGACCTGATGGAGAACAAGGAACCTGGAAGTGCTGAAAATGGCGGAAAGCGTGGGCGTGGAGCGAGAAGAGTCGTGAATCTTGGATCAACGAACTACGATTTGGTGGATATTTGGGCGATCAAAAGGGAGGCTCTTCAGAACTATGATAAGGCTGTTAAAGGTGAAAAAACGCTGAAAAATGGATATTTTTAGGGAAAATTCATGAAATTTCTGTAAAAAATAGCCCAAAAATGGTCAGATTTGGCTAGAAAAATCGCTCGAAATGAGTGTTTTTAGCAGAAAATAGGTCAAAAACAGTCGGAAAATCACGGATGTTGTCTTAAAAAGTTAAATTTTCGAGCTCAAAAACGCATTTTTCCAGCTTTTTTAACCTAAAAATCTCACTTTTCGCATCTAAAACCACAAATTCTATCGGAAAATGGCACAAAAATTGTATTTTTCAGCTGAAAAATCGAATTTTCAAGGTTTAAAAACCAAAATTTGCGTCTTAAAACTGCCAAATTTGAATCCCTATTCTATGAAAAATGTTTTTAGGTTGAAATTTAACATTTGAGGCCCTTAAAAATTGAATTTTTGAGCCAAAAAATGAAATTTTGGGTTTTAAAACTCCAATTTTCTTGGATTTTCAGACCCAAAATGACATAATTTTAGTCAAAAATGATGATTTGCGGCATTTTCCAGACCCAAAATTCGGAAAAATACGATTTTCAGACAATTTTAGGTGCCAAAAATTCATATTTTGCCGTAAAATTACGATTTTTGAGTCGGAAAATCCCCAAAAATAAGCCCGAAAATCTGAAAATCGCCTAAAAATTTTGATTTTTAGCAGAAATGGGCCAAAAAAATGGGTCAAAAACAGTGGGAAAATCAAAGATTTCGGCTCGAAACGTTGGATTTTCGATCTAAAAATCGAATTTTGGACCTCCAAAACCTCACATTCTATCGAAAAATGACACATAAATTGACATTTTTCCGGCAAAAATTGCATTTTTCAGCTGAAAAACCGAATTTCACATCCAGAAAGTAGTCCTACACGCTAGAATTTTTGACGTTACGGCGATTTTCAGACACTTCCAGCTCCCCAAACCTCGATTTTTTACATCAAAAATTGAAGAAAAAACGATTTTTCAAGTCGAAAATTGAGTTGCTAGGATCAGGAAAGCTGAAAAACGGGGTTTTTTTGACTGGAATCCAAGATTTTCAGCTATTTCAAGTGCTAAAATTCGATTTTTAAGCCTAAAAATCTCTAATATATTCAGAAGAGAAGAAGGCGATCGACGCACTTCGAATGGTGGACAACGCGGAGATTCAAGAAGCGCAATACGAGCGAAAATCGTGTCTAATCGAGAAGCCGACACAGTTCTTGTTCAAGCTGGATTACGGTCAATTGATGCGAACCGACGAGCAGATTCAAAACGCTAAGTCACGAGCGGATGTGATTGGAAAAGTCAAGGACTTCTATGTGAAGACGTCGGAGGTGATTGGGATGGAAAATAGTGAAATTTCGAAATTTTGATCTTCAAAATCACGAAAATCGCCCAGAAATCATGATTTTCAAAAAAAGTAATTTTAGCTACAGTAACCTTAGAAGATGTGCAATCGAGTTACTGTAGACGACAAAAAAGTTATGATTGGATTACGGTAGGAGAGGAAGGTTACTGATAATGATGATCGTTTTGACATCTACAGTACCTCCCCAGCCACACGACATCCTCCGTTTCCAGATTGTCTACAGTAACCCAAACTGAATAACGATCTACAGTAGTCAAACTTACTGTAACTAGGGTTACTGTAGTTCTAACTGTTAACGTAGACGTCCTAATGCAAGCTACAGTAACCCCAAAATGCTGATAAGGTCTACAGTATCCAAGACAACAGTAAGATATAAAGCTCTGGCTTGGGATACGGTAGATGTTACTCTAGCTAGGATTACTGTAGCCTAGATTACAGCTCTTTACCCTTCTGAAGTATGATTAACAGTAGCTACGATGACATCTACAGTACTCCCAGCCACACAATATCCTCTATTTCCAGATTGTGTACGATCACGAAACGCTGATTTCCCACGACGACTACGCGAAGAATGTGGGCGAATTCACTCTGCCAGGCGCCAGATGGATTCCGGATAACAAGGAGTTGGCGGCGAACTTTGGTGTCGCTGATGTAGAAATCGAGCTGGATGAGGAGCAGGGAAAAGAACAGATCAACGCTTATGGACCGTATACGGATCCCCTGTCGGGTCGTGAAGTCGTCGCACCGCCTCGTTGGTTCGTCGAACAGGAAGCTACTCGACAGCATCTGGAGATTCAGTCACGTGCCACGTCACGAGCCTCGAAAGCAGCGATGAGGGATTCACAGGGAACACAGGTGAGAGATTTTGGAAATTTGAGGCGTTTTGGGTTACTGTAGCTCTTATTGGAGCTACCGTAATCCGATCTACAGTATCCCTGACCACTGTGAGACAAGCTTCGATTACTGTAGATTTTAGTTTGAAAGGAATAAAAGAGCTACTGTAACCCGAACTACAGTATCTCAGACTAATTTGAAATAGCTTGGAATACTGTAGGACGTGCGTTCGCTCAAATTACAGAGCTCGGATTACTGTAGCTTAGGTCACTGTAGATCCCTCTTCTTCAGTTTGGGATACTGTAGATCTTACTGTAGTTATAATTACGGTACTGTGGAAGGATACAAGGCTACAGTAATCCAAGCTAAAAATGAGACCTACAGTATCCATCCTAGACTACAGTAGGATCTGAAAATTTCGAAAATTGTAGATCCTAATTGGAGTACTGTACCCTCCTAGTCAGGTCAGCTACAGTAATCCCGGTTTTTTGCCTTCTTGGGTTACTGTAGTAGATTACTGTAGATCACTCTTCTCTAGTTCGGGGTACTGTAGCTCAGATTACAGCTTGTTTTTCTTTTACAGTTTATCCCATCTACAGTAATCCAAGATTGCCAAGATCCAATAGTTGTAGATCGGTTGGATTACTGTAGACTAGCTGTTGAGATACTGTAGGTCTTACTGCAGTTATGATTACGGTACATCCTACTGTAGAAGGTTATAGAGCTACCGTAATCCAAGACCTACAAAATCCTATAGTTGTAGATCCTAATTGGATTACTGTACCCTACTAGCTCGCTACAGTAATCTAATTGTAGTTCCTACTGTAGCTAGGATTACTGTACCCTATTTCCTAATTACCGTAACTCTCTTCCAGAATACCCAACGCTACTCCCAACGTCAATCCCAGCCACTCATCGAACGTCACCGTAACAATCTGAATGAATTCGTCTCGTTTGTCGAAGGACGAATGAATAAGAACCGCCCGTCTACTCATTTGAACACTGGCCTAATTGATATGTTCGTCGACCAGTTTGGCGACGAAATGGGCGGAGCCAGCGAGCCGATGGGCGGAGCCAGAGACCAGAATTATGATTTTGACGACGATTTTGGAGGGGATTTCGGTGAAGGAGGGGACGAGGACTCGAACGATTATGTTCGAAATTTGACACGGAGAAATGTGAGGAAGGAGGCGGCGCCGTGGGATGATTTGGAGAAGATTAAGATTCCGTTGTACACCGGGGATGAAGATTTGCCAGGTAAAAATTCGATTAAAATGAGTGAAAATCGGGCTGAAAGTCACTAGAATTGGCTGAAAATGATGGAAAATAGGGCTTAAATGACCTTGAAATTCGTTGTAAGCGGAAAAATTGGTCCAAAATCGCTCAAAATGACCCAAAACGAACCAAAAAAAAGAAAATATGGCTGAAATTGGCTTTCTAGGCCATGACCTAGGTTTTTCGTGACCTAGATTTTCGTGACCTAGGTTTTCATGACCTAGATTCGTGACCTAGATTTTTCTGGGTCATGACCCAGTTTTTCCAAGGCACGACCTAGATTTTTGTAGGTCATGACCTAGATATTATAGGTCATGGCCAAATTTTTCGTGACCAACATTTTCATGACTAAGATTTTCATGACCTAGATTTTTCATGACCCAGATTTTTCAGAGTCATAAGCCTGTGATTTCGAGCCGAAGTGAATGAAAGTTGGCTGAAAACGGGCGAAATTTGCCCATAATTACCCTGAGAAGGCAATTTTTAATAGCAAAAATTCATGAAAATCGGCCAAAAATGATGAAAAATCTACTGAAAACGGCGATGTTCAGCTGGAAAAATGACCAAAAGACTTGATTTTTTAGCGTTTTTGAAAGTGAAAGTTTAACTGAAAATTGGCTAAATTTGACCAGAAAAACTGTAGGCTTTGACTATTTTCAGCCTAATTTTAAGCCAAAATGGTTAAAAATCTACTGAATAATAGGCTGAAAATTTTGTAAAAAATGACAAATTTTAGCTAAAAAGTCCCTGTAAAATCTGTAAAAAATGGTCTAAATTTATCTTAAAATAGGCTGAAAATGGCTGAAAACGACAAAAATGAAAATTTTCTCGAAATGATATATTTTTGGGTTTTTGAACGAGAAATCTGTCAAAAAATAGTCTGAATTTGGCTGAAAATGGGCTGAATTTGTCCAAAAATCAGCCAATTTTCAGCTCAAAAACATGTAAAAATGACCATTTTCCAACTGAAAAACTCTCCAAATTTGTAGTTTTTAAGCTGAAAAATGACCCAAAAAATGGTTCAAATGTGTGAAAATTGGCTGAAAATTAACCTAAAATATTCGAAATTCCTCGAATTTTTTCAAAAATTTGAGCGTTTTTGAAAGTAAAAATTGCCAGAAAACGATCCAGAGATTTGTCAGGAAATTATCTGATAATTGGCTGAAAATCGCCCAAATTCCCTCAAGTTTCCCAAAAAATCGATTATTACAGTATCCCGAAAACCAGTCAAAGCCGTCTTCAAAACGCAACCAACGCCCTCCGAATTGCTCCGTCGCAAGCAGCTTCGCCAATCGAAAATCCAAAAATCGCGTCGTGACGAATTCATGGAGACGCACGACTACCTCCAGGACTTCTACTACTGGAGAAGTGCCGCGCGTATCAACCCGAATAAGGACTGGAAAATCGAGGCACTCCGATCGTCGATTCTCACCGAAAAGAAGCGGCGAATCAGGGAGAAGACGCAGAAGATTCGAGAGATTCGAGCTCAGAGATTCCAAGCGATTCGTAGGAAGCCACGTGGCGTTCCGGTGGAGGAGTTTGAGGGAATACAGTTGGGTGGTGGTCCAGATGAAATGGTTTTGGAGAATGATGGAAATCCAGAAGAGCATGTGGTTGGAAATCGAAGAACGATGGGAGTGGAGTGTGAGTTTTCTGGAAAGCTGAAAATCCCGAAAATATTGAAGAAATGGCTTGAAACGGGCTGAAAATGGAGCTAATAATCTGAAAAAAAACATCTTTTTCACCGATTTTCTATTGATTTTCAGCTTAAAATTTGCCCAAAACTCGTCAGAAATTGACTAAATATCGCTGAAAATCGAGCTAAAAAAGCTGAAAATATTGAAAAAAATTTCTTGAAAATCGCTGAAAATAGGCTGAAAAATCTGAAACAAACGTATTTTCAAACGATTTTCAGACAGTTTTACGCTGATTTTCAGTCAAAGTTTTGCCCAAAAAGTGCCTGAAAATTGTCTGAAAATCACTGGAAATTGGGCTGAAAACGCTGAAATTTTTGAACAAAAACAAACTTTTTTCAAACGATTTTCAGTCCGACATTTGCTCAAAAATCGCTGAAAATTGAGCTGAAAATTGCTAAAAAAAAAGGCTGAAAAACTCTGAAAAACATATTTTTCAACAATTTTCCGTCGATTTTCAGCTAAAAATTTGCTCAAAAATCGTCAGAAATCGACTGAAATTTATCTGAAAATTTTGAAAAAAAAAGCGTTCTGAAATTTTGAAAAATTTAGGATAATTTAGCTGAAAATCGATGGAAATAGAGCTGAAAATCTTAAAATTGGCCGAAAAATCGTCTGAAAAGTGAGCTGAAAATCTAGAAAAACTGAAGAAAAACCGTATTTTTAAACGATTTTCAGACAGTTTTTAGCCGATTTTCCGTTTGAATGGTCCGAAAAATCGTATGAAATTGGCTGAAAATTTGAAAATTCTAGAAAAATCGGTCTGAAAATCGCTGAAATTGTGAATAATCTATCAAAAAAAAACCGTCTGAAAATTGAGCTGAAAATGTCGAAAAATCGGGAAAAATCAACCGGAAAATCTATGGTTTTTTGCCTATTTCCCTCGATTTTCAAGCCATTTCTCCCAGCTTTTTCAGATTTTCAGCTTTTTTCAACCTAGAATTGTTCAATTAGCCAGACTATATCTGAAAACTGAGCGACTTGGAGCTGAAAGTTCTTAATTTTGTGGTTTTTCTCAAAACTGACTGAAATGCATTGAAACGCGAAAAAATTACTTGAAAATTGCAGTTTTCTGGCTCCTAGGGAGACAAACTGACCAGAAAAATCGATTCCGACAGAAAAATCTGAGCGATCTGAGCAACGTTTTTTTTACTAGTTGACGAATTTCTCTAGAATTTTTCAGATAAATTTTCAGCTAGATTTTTTCCATTTTTTCAAAATTTCAGCTCGATTTTCCTCTAATTTTGTTTGTAATTTTTGCTAAAATTCGATTTTTACAGTCGACGACGTCGTTGATGAGGATCTAGCCGCTGAGGTGGAACTGGACGAATTCGGTGGTGGTGGCTACGATATGGACATGGATTACGATGGACAAGTGGACCCACAACACCAAATTGCCAATCCGGCGACCGCTCCAATGCCAGACTACGATTTCGAGGCACCGTCGATGGGTGGGGATACGGTAGCAGCAGCTGCTGCTGCTGCTGCTCCAACGAAACCATTGCTATTCGAGGATATCGATGATGCCGAGTTGAATACGGTCATCAATTTGCCCGGAAGCTTGTTCATTAATAGTGAGTGTGTTAGATTTTGAGATTTTGGCATGAAAATAGGTCGAGAAATTGTTGAAAATGACTCAAAATGACCCAAAAATCAGCTTTGAAATTTTCAATTTCTGGAATTTCTGATTTTCCGAATCCTTGAAAAATCCAATTTCTAGAATTTTTGGAATTTTCGGAATTTTCAGAATTTTTTGAATTTTCGAATTTTTGAATTTTTAAAATTTTTGAATTTCCGAATTTCAGAAAATGTCTTAAAAATTGTTGAAAATGGTCTGAATTCCAGCTGAAAATTATCTAAAATCTAGCTGAAAATTAAAATTCCCTAAATATTGTTTAAAAATTTCCCGTAAATTCGTTAAAAATTGCCCAAAATGACCCAAGAATGGTCCAGAATACCTTAAAATTCGTTAATAATCATCAAAAATTACTCGAAATTCATTGAAAATGATCCAAAAATAATTCAAAAAGACCCAAAAATCGTTTTAAAAATGGTTCCAAATGGCTCAATAGTGATTTTTTAACGATTTTTTGCGAATTTCCAAAGATTTTTAGTCCAAAATCAGCTGAAAATTGGCCAGAATGACCCCGAAATTCGTAAAAATGGTCCAAAATCCTTGAAAATCTTCAAAAATCGCCCTTTTTCTCATTCCAGAGGCCCTTCCACTGCTCAAAAAGTTTGCCGAGCACAAAACGGACCGTGACCAAATGGCGTACGAAATGGCGAAGGCCTATGAAGACGTTGACGTCGCCGTGTCGTGTCTTCAGGATCAAGTCGACAAGTGGCATCAGAAGATGGAGCCGATTCTGGATGAGGGAGAGACCAGGAAGGAGTATGATGTGAGTTTTTGGGCTGAAATTGACTGAAAAATAGCTGAAAATTGGCTCAAAATCGGCTTAAAAGAGGCAAAATTGGGCAAAAATGATCTAGAAATGCATGTTTCAGGATTTATCAGATTCGAAATTTTCTGAATTTTCAAAAAAAAATCTATGAAAATCTTCATTTTTAGGCTAAAAAATCTGAAAAATGAGGGTTTCCAGTTTTTTTGGTGTCAAAATTTCAAATTTCCATAACTTTTTTCATATTCGACCTAGACTAATAAAAATAGTTCCATTCGATTTGCCTTGTTTTCAGCTTCAAAATGAGTATAAACGTGCCTAGGTTACTGTATCTTTCAGTAGTGGTGGGTACGGTAGCGAGCTTAACGGCGCATACGGAAACCTTACACTGCGCTCCTTTAATTTTTGAGCTACAGTAACCTTGCGTATGCTCATTTTGAAGCTAGGCCTTGAATGAAGAAAGTTATAGCATACTGTAGCTTAGTTCATTGCTCAGATTGAACAGAATTTCCAATTTTCAAAAAATCAATGTTTCCAGGTCCACCTCGTTGGCCGTAACGTTCTGGCGAACTACGATCAAGCTGGCGAAACGAAGCGTCTGATCGACCTGATCCTAGGTCGACCATGGTTCGAGATTAGTCGATACTTCCTCGCTTGCCTGTTCATGTGCAATATGGGAAATGTGATGGTTGATGAGGATCGAGAGCTCCCGCTGGAGGAACGAATCAATACCATGAAAATCACACTGATCCATAAGAATATGCACTCGGATCAGATTGCGAAGCTCTCGGCGCCCGATGAGTAGGCCTACTGTAGCCGTTGGACTGATAATTTATTGATCTAAATACTTGCTTTTTTTATGTTTAAAATGTGTGATTTTAAGCTGAAAAATGTGTATTTTCAGCCGAAAAATGCTGATTTTGGACCCCAAAATCTAGAATTTTAAGCCAAAATCTTTGATTTTTCGATTAAAAAATCTAAAAAATCGCCCCCAAAAACAAGGGCTTTCCTGCTGTAAAATGTGAATTTTAAGCCCGAAATCGTTGATTTTTCTAAATTTTAGTGATTTTTTGAGCCAAAAAATGGCGATTTTCGGCGAAACTTTCAGCGATATCTTCTGTTTTTTCGGCGACTTTTGAGCTAATTTTCGCCAAATTTTAAGCTAGAAATCTATGATTTTCAGCCGAAAATCTATGATTTTGATCTCAAAAATTCTGAATTTTAAGCCGAAAATTTTCGACTTTCCGGGCAAGAAATGTCGCTTTTTGGCGATTTTTCGGCCCAAAATTCTTGATTTTTTAACAATTTTTTAAATCAAAATTTACATTTTTTGGGACATTTTTCTACTTTTTCAGCTTTCACATCTCAATATTTAGATTGTTTTTCTCTACTTTTTTCCTTCAATTTCTAACATTTTTTGTCGCTTTTTAATGTATTTTTTGTTTTGAAAATCCTCAATTTCTGTGTGTGAAATTCCATTCAAATAATCCCATTTTTCCCGAATTTCCAGCCAAAAAATTCAAAATTTTTGGAATTTTTGGATTTTTTTAGAATTTTCAGAATTTTAAAAAAATTGAATTTTCAAAAAACTTCTAAAATTACCATTTTCAGCTTGTTTTTTTTGGCTGAAAATTCAAATTTTTTAGAATTTTCAAATCTGAAAAAATGCAAATTTCAGCTTGGCTGAATTTTTTGGCTGAAATTTGAAATTTTCGAAAAAAATGGAATTTCAAAAAAAGTCGTTTTCTTTATCTCAAAAATTTTTGTTTTCAGCATCATTTTTGGCTGAAAACCACGCCCATTCCAGTTACTTTTTCCATGTGAATCTCTCTTTCTCTGCGTCTCTCACTTTTACATGTGCTCTCTCTATCCCTCTCTAGATATCTCTCTGCTTATGTAACGACGGTTTTATTGATATCATTATTATTATCATTATCAAGATTATGATTAAATTGATTGCTCAGAATTTTGAATTTTAGAAAATTTGAAAAAATCGAAAATCGACAAAAAAGTCAAATTGGAGCTCAACTTGTAGGCATGATTGCTCAGAATTACTTAAATTTGAATTCAAAGTCCCAAATCATAGTTCAATGTTCCATGAGTCGCATATGCATTCATAAACTCGGCCCCAAATTCGATGGGCTGGGTGACGGACTGGACGACGTCGGAATTCAGAATCCTCTCGAACCACGCCGTCAATTTTGGGAATTTTTGAATTCCCGGAAATCCGCGAATCGGAAGATCGACGACGTCGTCGAGGCTGGCGGACCACCAGATTTTCTCGAAAAACGGGAATGTGAGATAGTCGGGGTAGCCGGGGGCGGAGCCTGGAACAATTTGAATTTTTGAATTTTTAAAATTTCAAAATTTTGACGTTTAAAAATTTTCGAATTTTCGGATTTTTGAATTTTCGAAATTTTGAATTTTTTGGATTTTTCGAATTTTTGAAAATTCGATTTTCGGATTTTTAATTTTCAAAATTTTTGAATTTTTTGAATTTTTGAAATTTCGAAATTTTGAATTTTTTGAATTTTCGAAATTTTCAAACAAACCTGCATAAAAATCATGGACCAACAAATTTTCAGCCTGTTGCAATACTTCAAAAACTTTTTCCTGTTTCTCATTTTTCAAATTTCGATCTCTCATCACTGCGAACAGTTGGGGGACAGCATGAGCGACCTGAAAATTTGAATGTCAAAGAGATGCAAATGCGCTCTAATGACAAATTTAGTGAAAACTGTCCCTGGAGCGCGTTTACACCAGTTTAGGCTGTGCAAGCGCGCTCTACTGCAATTTTTAGAAGTAATTAGCGTTAGAGCGCATTTGCAGCTTCTGAAATGTGGGAAAAGCGCCCTAAAGTACATTCGTCGTATCTTCAAGGGTGCAAGAGCGATCCACAGCTAATTTGATGAAAATTAGCATTGGGGCGCATTTGCAGTTTTCAATTTTTAGGTTTTCTTCCAAATTTTCAATTTTCTCCTTGAATTTGCATTAGAGCGCTCTTGCAGGCTCGAAAAGTCGAAAATTCGAAAATCGCAAATGTGCTCTATCGCTAAAACTGATGTTACAGCGAGTAACGCTAATTTTCTCTAACGCTAATTTTCGCCCAAATTAGCGTTAGAGCGAAATTGCATTTTCTAAATTTTCTCATTAGAATTTTCAGATTCTTTTCCGAATATTTCAATTTTTTAAACGATATTCGCAACAGAGCGGTTTTGTCAAAAGTTCAAAAATAGCAAACGCGCTCTAATGCTAAAATGGCATTAGAGCACATTTTTATACTATTAAATGGTGTGTATGAGTAGAAAATGCGCTCCACTGTCAATTTTCATGTAAATTAGAATTGGAGCGCATTCGCTGTATTCCAGATGTGTCAAGTGCGCTCCAACGTTCAAAGAATTAAGGGAAGTTAGCATTGGAGCGCAATTCCGATATTGCAACTATCAATAGAGCGCACTTGACACGATTTGGTGTAAACAACTGCGCTCAACCGATAATAATAGAAAAATGAGCATTAGGGTTAATTTTGGCAAATAGCAAATGCGCTCTAACGTAAATTAGCGTTAGAGCGCAGTTTCTGCATTCCATATGTACAAGTTCGCTCCAGGGCGAACAACATAAGGGAAATTGGCATTGGAGCGTGTTTTTCAAATCTTGTTTTTGCAAAATGCGCTATGTTGACAATTCGTTACCATAGTCAATCTCTCAGCTAGCAGCTTCTGCTGAACCTTCTCAAATGGATCCGTCGGCAGAATTCTGGATTCGGGAAATGCGTCGTCCAAATATTCTGGAATGAATCCAGACTCGATCACAATTTTTCCGTCATGCTCGATGGCGGGCGCCTTTCCCTGATAGTGTTTAGAATAGAACCATTCCGGCTTGTCGGTCACATTTAGGTTGATCACTTCCGCTCTGGAATTTCAAGCTTTAGTTTGGTAAAATTGAAAATTAAGATGGGAAATTGAATTTGTCGGGTTTGAAGCTTTGAAATGAGCCTAAACATGATTAGGTTAGGTTTTGAATAAAGCGAGTTATGCTAAAATGAAAATTCGAAAAATACATTTATTGGTTCCAAAAATTTCAAATTGCCATAACTTTTTTAATTTGCGAGTAAACTCATCGAAATAGTTTTCATTCGACTTGTTTTGTTTTCAGCTTCCAAATGAGTATACGCAAGGTTACTGTAGCTCAAATATAAAACCAGCGAGATGTAAGGTTACTGAATGCGCTACTGAAAAATAAACCACTACTGAAAAATACAGTAACCTAGGCATGTTTATACTCATTTTGCAGCTGAAAACATGAGCAATCTAATGAGCTAAATTTCATTAGTCTAGGTAAAAAATGAAGGAAGTTGTGGCCTTTTCAAATTTTGACACTAATTTTTTTTCTCCCAAAATTTCAAATCACTATAACTTTCTTCATATTAGATCTAGACTGATGAAATGTAGACCATTTGATTTGTCTTGTTTTCAGCTTTCAATTGAGTATACGCAAGGTTACTGTAGCTCAAATATAAAACCAGCGAGATGTAAGGTTACTGAATGCGCCTTTTAGGTAGCTACAGTACCCACCACTACTGAAAAATACAGTAACCTAGGCATGTTTATACTCATTTTGCAGCTGAAAACATGAGCAATCTAATGAGCTAAATTTCATTAGTCTAGGTAAAAAATGAAGGAAGTTGTGGCCTTTTCAAATTTTGACACTAATTTTTTTTCTCCCAAAATTTCAAATCACTATAACTTTCTTCATATTAGATCTAGACTGATGAAATGTAGACCATTTGATTTGTCTTGTTTTCAGCTTTCAATTGAGTATACGCAAGGTTACTGTAGCTCAAATATAAAACCAACGAGATGTAAGGTTACTGAATGCGCCTTTTAGGTAGCTACAGTACCCACCACTACTGAAAGAAACAGTAACCTAGGCATGTTTATACTCATTTTAAAGCTGAAAACATGAAAAATCAAATGAGCTAAATTTCATTAGTCTAGGTTGAAAATGAAGAAAGTCATGGCATTTTTAAGTTTTGACACTAAAACATTTGGTTCCAAAAATTTAAAATTGCCATAACTCCCTTCATTCTAAACCAAACCTAGTCATGTTTATACTCCTTCAAAAGCTCAAAACACGCTAAATTCAAAATTTCAAATTTCGTACAGCACAACTCACTCGATTCCCTTCGCTGCAACATAGATCATGGCCCGTTCTGCCCATGGGCAGAACCGCATGTTGTAAATTCGGAATTTTCCAGAAGCCAGAGGTGGCTCCGGGTCCCCTTTACGGATTGCTTTGGAGGTGACACCCGTTAGTGTCATTTTCTGAAAAAAAATGGAATTTCAGAAAAAGTATATCAGTTGAAAAAATAATTTTCCGAAAAGAAATGTTTTTCTTATCAATTTTTTTCTATTGATAGTGATAAGAAATTATGTGATGCAACTAGTAAACAAAGAGAATATATCAAAAATTATGTAATAAGACCAAGAGAAAGAATTATGGAATTTTTTGAAAATTTGAAAAAATAGGAATTTTTGGAAAAATTCCACAAACCTTGCCTGGCCTAGGAAAATCTAGGCCACAGTCGGGAACACTTTCCAGTTCGAAATCTGGAAAATACTGAAAATCCGGGTCCAAATCCACCATTCTCAACCGCACGGCTTGTAAATAACGCTCTAAGACGGAGATGTCTCCTGAGTAGTCTGGAAGTTTATTTTAAAGGCGCATATCTCTAAAAGGGGCGGAGCTAACTAAACTTTGTTAACTATGAAAATGTAGAAAATTAAATTTTACACATGTTATCAGTTGACAACTTTTTGATAGCATTTTTAGTTTCTGAGTTATAAGTTTTTAAGTTATGGGCACTGTAGAACTGGCGGTCTAAGGCGCCTCGAAATTTAAAGGCGCATAATTCATAAACTACAATTGCTATTAAAAAGAATTAAAATACAAAAATGTGTAAAACTTCATAAGCTACAAAATCGTAGTTGGTAATTTTTGATAACGTTTTTAGTTTCTGAGTTATGCGCCTTTAAAGTTAAAGCGCCCTTCAGAGCTTACCTACCCCCGCCCAAGGGGCGCCTCTAACCTTAAAGGCGCATATCTCAAAAACCTAAAAAGCTATTAACAAAAGAAAAAATACCAAAATGTGTAAAATTTTATAAGCTACAAAATTGTAGTTGGTAACTTTTGAGTAGCATTCTTAGTTTTCGAGTTATGCGCATTTAAAGTGAAAAGCGCCCTTCAACGCCTGCCTACCCCCACCAAAGAGCGCCCCCAACTTTAAAAGCGCATATCTCAAAAAGGGGCGGAGCTAACAACTTTTTGTTAACTATGAAAATGTAGGAACATAAATTTCACACATTATGTTAGTTTAAAACTTCTTTATAATTTTGCTGCTTTTTAATTTATGCGCCTTTAAAGTTAAAGCGTCCTTTAGCGCTTACCTACCCCCGCTCAAGGGGCGCCTTTAACTTTAAAAGCGCATAACTCATAAATCACAATTACTATCAAAAATAAGTAAACTACAAAAATTTGTAAAATTTTATAAGCTACAAATTTATAGTTAACAACTTTTTAATGGCTCTTTTAGTTTTTGAGTTATGCGTCTTGTAATCTAGCCTCACCATCATCATTGGTTCGGTTGATGCAGTTCCCATCAGTGTTAGAACTCGAGGGGTCCATTTCAGGAGCTGGAAATAGCCGAAAAATGGATTTTAAAGCTTTTTAGTCAATCTCAGAAAGCAAAAATGCACATTTTCGAAAATGTGATCTCTCTGGTTTCCATGGAAACCGGAAAAGAGAAAAATGTGTAAATATCTATTTAGAGAAAAACATGAGAAATTTGGGATAATTGTATGTTGTAGAAATCTAAAAATTAGAAGGATTGTAAATCTAAAAAAGTGCTGAAAATTCGGAAAAATTGAAGAAAAATATTCATATTTGCTGAAAAACAGAAAAAAAATCCTGAAAAATCTGTAAATCCAAGAGATTAGAAATTCCTTATTTTGCAGTAAACAAGATTTTTTCAGCGGAAAATTTGAAATGGGATCGGGAAGATCAGCTGGTGATTTCTGAAAAAAAACGTCGAATTTCTGATATTCTGGAAATCTGAAAATTAAAAAATCTGTAATTTCTAAATTCCCCATTAATCGAATTTTTGGATTTTCGAGTTTCTGAAATTCAAAATTTTTGAATTTTTTAGATTTTTTATCTGACCAGCACGAATCTGAAAATTCTGAAACTTTTAAAAAAATTGTAATTTTGAAATGTTCTGTATTTTCTCCGATATTTCATTCTCCAAGGAAACCGGATTATTGTACTTTCAACCGATTTCTGATTATGGAATTTGTACTTTTATGATAACAGAAAAAAAAACTTGTTCCAGGTTTTCTGAAGACGTCATTATTCTAGCGTCTTCTGAATTCTGAGAAGACGTTATAAGATTTAGGGTCATTTCTTCCTCATTTTCTTTTGATGTTCGATGATTGTTCGGTGAAAAAAACGACAGTGAAAAAGAGGAAAAAAAAGGGAAAATAGGAAAAAACGAGTTTTTTTTTCCGTAGCGAAAAATCAGAGATTAGATAAAAAGGAAAATTTGAAAATACGGAAATAAATGTTGCGAAATTGAAATTCCGAGACAACTTATTGAAAACTTCAGATTTTCAGATTTTGGAAAATCCCAAAAAATTCAAAAATTGAGAAATTCAGATTTCCAGCAATCCACCGTTTCGAAGTTTAAAAAATTTAGGAAATCTTAAAATTTAAGAAACCTCAGAATTACGGATGTTTCGAAATCAAGAAAGTTCATCAATGTAAAAAAATCTGAAATTTTGATTTTCAGCTTATCACAAACTCAGAATTCTGGAAATTCCAAAAATCGAAAATCCCCAATTTTGATATTTTCAGACTTTCAAATTTCCAAAATCGACTGAATCAGAGTTTTCGATTTTCATAGTTTCAGAAGTTCCAAAAAGCAGAAAATCCGAAATTTTTACAAATCTGGGAATCCTACAAAATCGAACATTCCAAGTTTTCAAATTTGCAGATTCTCAGATTCTCAGAATTTCCAGAAAGTCAGAATTCCTTATTACAAAATTCAAGAATTCCAAATTTTGCAGATTCTCAACTTCACATTTTCATTCTTAGAATCAAAATTTTCCAGTTTTTGAAAAATTTATCCCTTTTTCCAAGTTCCCCAAAAAGCCGGTCCAGATATTTCTTTAAAAAAGAAAAACCAGATAATTATCATTAATCATCCAATTAGCCCAATAATGTTATCTATGAAATCCTATATTTTTCCGATTTTTCCCATAAATCGGGCCTAGATAATTACCCTAATTACCCTAATTATCCCAAAAAGATATTTTCTTATCATATCCTTTCATCCCCATAAATGATAATAACTTTTTCTCTCATCACTCCCAATTTTTCCCATAAATCCGACCTAGATGATTACTAATTATGCCTAAAATCCCTTATCATTTATTTTTATCTCCAATAAAAGATAATAATTCTCTTTCTAATCACAATTAATCGTCGCTTGGGGGGAAATTGGAATACATAAAAATTCCAAAGAAGACAAAAAAGACAAAAAAGAGAAGGAAAACTTTTTTACGCGCTGATTTTTTTCGATTTTTTTCTTCCTTTTCCTCTTCAGCCGGACCGGCAGATAGCAAGTTTTTTTTGCCAATCCCCCCCCCCCTCACTAAAAGGGCGAGGCCTCGGGAAGCTTCTCCCTAACCATCTACCCTCCACCCCACCCCAAACCCTCTATATAAGAATTCAGAAGACGTCAGACACCTTCAGACATCCGAAATGTCAACAATCGGTTATATTGGAGCTTCCCTGTGCCTTGTAGGAGTTCTCTCATCCCTATTCTCAATCTCTCACATCGTTTCTGACATCAATTCTCTTCGTTCCGAAGTTGAAGGTCGTGTCGATGAGTTTAAGGTTCTTGCCGATGACACGTGGCAACGTCTTCTGATCCTCCAATCTCCAACTGGGGAAACCGAGAATGTGATGCCCTCGATCTTCCGTTCCAAGAGATTCGTCTACCCAGGAATGTGCAACTGCGACAGCAACTCTCAAGGATGTCCAGCAGGACCACCAGGACCACCAGGACTTCCAGGAAAGCGTGGAGACGAAGGACAGCCAGGAGACCTCGGAAGAACTGGAGCCACTGGAATCTCTCTCGCTGCCGTGCACCATATTCCAGGAGGATGTATCCAATGCCCAGCCGGACCAGCCGGACCACCAGGACCAAAGGACCAGTTGGAAATCAAGGGTTCCCAGGAGTGGTCGGACCATGTGGACCATCTGGAGACGATGGACAGCCAGGACCACAAGGAGTTCAGGGAGATAAGGGAGCGCAAGGACCAAAAGGCTTCGATGGAGCTGATGGACCAGATGGTATGCCAGGAACCGCTTACTTCCCAGGAGCACAAGGACAGCCAGGAGAGCCAGGATGGTTGGGACAACCGGGACTTCCAGGAAAGCATGGAGAGCCAGGACAGGATGGAGAGGAAGGACCAAAGGGAGCACCAGGAACACCGGGAGCCAATGGAAGAGATGCCTATCCAGGACAACCAGGAAAGGCTGGAGAGCCAGGAAGTGTTGGTGAGTGATTCGGAATTTTTGAATACGACAAAAAATTTCTTATGCGCCTTTAAATCTTGTAGTTGCCAAGAGCCCTAAACTTCAAAAGCGCATATCTCAAAAACCAAAATAGCTATCAATAGGTGCTAAATTACAAAAATGTAGCTTACCAAATTTTGCACATTTTTTGTAATTTATATATTTTTGATAGCATTTGTGGTTTTTGAGTTATGCGCCTTTAAAGTTTGAGGTGACCTTGGGCGCTGTGGGCAGGCGCTAAAGGGTGCCTCTAACTTTAAAGGCACATATCTCAATAAATGGAAAAGCTAGCTTAAATTTGTTAATTGTTAAAATGTTTTAAGTTTTATTGGCTATATTTTTGAAATTTACCCCTTTTTGATACAACTTTTAGTTTTTAAGATATGCGCCTTTAAAGTTAAAGGAGTCCTTCAGCGCCTGCCTACCACAGCGCCTGATGGCGTCTCTTACTGTGAAGGGGCATATCTCAAAAACCGTAACTTCTATAAAAAAAGGTTAACTAGAAAAATGTAGAAAACAAAATTTCTTTCTCAAATATGCCTATTTTTCCAGGAAAGGACGCCAACTACTGTCCATGCCCAGCCCGCCGCGATTCCAAGACCGAATCCGTCCACGAGCCACCAGCAGCTTCCCAAAATGGAGGATACAGAAAGGCCAAGAGACACTAAACAGTGGAAATGTTATTTATTTTTGTTTTTTCTGCATAATGAAGCTATTTTTGTTTCAAATTAAATGTTCAAAAAACAAAAAAAAAGGAAAAA